CGGGCCCTGCCCTCTGCACTTGACAAATGTGAGAGCCCTGAGGCCACACGCCGGGCCGCATCCTGAAAGCGGAAACTAAGGCCTAGGGGGGAAGCCCTCACTGGGCGGGCCACAGGAAGAAACCCAGGCCGCTTCCCCCCCAACTCTGGGCTCTGGGGGCTTCCTGGGGGTTAAGCCCGGCCAACCCATCCCCGGTGGTACAGCTTGGAGTACTGAACCCAAGGGGAAGAGAAGAGAGGTGAGTTCCAGCAACCTGAGCTGGCTGAGCCCCTCCCTGGCTCCATCCGCTGGGGCATCCCGAATGGGTCTCAGCTGAGCAAGGACCCAGCCATGCAGAGGGTCCTGAGCCCCGGGGCTCTCACTACCACCACCCCCTTCCCCAGGGTCAGGATAGCTTTAGGTAAGGACTGGACAGATAGAGAAACACACACACACTCACACACACATACACTCTCTGAGGAAGGGGGATATCCGGTGGCCTGCTGCTCACGCCCTGACCTTGGTCAGCACTTGGTTTGCCTCTCTGCACCTCAGCTTCCTCTATAAAACCAGCAGGGCCAGGTCCTCTAGCCCGGGGCCAGGCTGCAACTGCAGGTGGCTGCCGGGTCTCAATACAGAGAAACCAGATGAACCGCAATTATTCTTTTATTGTTATTCCCACAACAGGCCCAGAGCAGGCTGCAGGCTACCAACCAGGCTGCCAGACCACCAGCCCTGGAGAGGCCCCCTCGCCCCCATGCTGGCTCCAGGCCAGGCCCCTCTGGCTCCTGAGAGCTGGCTTCCAGATCTGGGGAGGCCAAGCCCCAGTCCTGGTGACTCACCTCAGCACTAAGCCCTCCTGTTTGCCCCCTGCCAGGGACGGCTCCACCTCCCACCCCCTCAGCATCCAAAGCCCAGCAGTCACCAGGTCCAGTCAAGACAGGGCCTGGACATCTCTCCAATCCATTCGCTCACTTCCACCCCCACAACCGTGTCCTGGCCTGCTCCCCTGCCCTCTCCTGCACTCTCTCTCGCCCCCTGGGCCCCTCAGCCTTTCTTCTGGTTTCCCACCCTCTAGTTTTGCCCCCTCAACATGGCAGCTGGGGGGGGGGGTTTCTCTTTAAAGTACAAACCTGGCCCAGTGCCTCCCCTGCTCAGACACCTCCCATGGCTCCCCAGGGACCTCAGCAGAAAGCTCAA